ATCTGACCTACCTGTTGACCCCAAATGAGATCTGTTCCAAAAATAGCCACCACTAAATAGTTGGTCTGTGCACTAAGATGCGGTAGGCATCTAGAATGATCTAGTGTAGACATTGCACAGTGTTGTAGTCCATGAGCGACACAGGGGACACCGGAGAGGACGACCGCAGGATCTTGCGATCTGCCAGAGGCCCGTTAACTCACGTGTCCCTAGGACCGGAGGGTGATAGGGAACTGTTCCGCCGACAGAGGGAGAGGAGAGCTAGAGCAGTCGAGGCCAGCAAAACCTTAATTGGTGAGGCTGGTGCTACAGCAGCCATGGCTACAACAGCCATGAGCACGTCTGCGCAACAGACTTCTCAAGCCGGTAGTTCAGGTACCGCCGGGTCCACGGTCGCACAGGCCGTGAGTCAGTCCAGTGGCTTAATGGCAAGCCAGCCCGCGGTGTTGACCCCAGAGGATGTCGCCATACAGCAGGCAGCCCTGCAAGAGGCACAGCTACAACAGGCCTTAGGACAGATAAAAAGAGAGAAGGAAATGATGATTAGAAGAAAAACCAGGTTGCAACGAAGAGTGGCAGACATAGAGGAGTTAGAGACGATGGACCTGACGCATATGGATGAGGATGTGAAGGTAGTTAGGAGGGCCCTGCTAGGCGTAATTGAGATGCAGGAGCATCAAACTACCATCCTTCAGGACATTCAACAAAGCCTAGCCGTGTTGGCAGGCCATGCTCAGGCAGCACCATCACCAGCAGGGCCTGGTGCCTGGCCCGTGCCATATCCTCCTTTTTCTGTCCCACCGGTGACAGGGGTATCCCCATATGTAGCCCCTTCAACGGTTGCAATAGTTTCCCTGGGCATGCCGCTATCAGGAGGGGTAACAGCAGGGAGTAGTTTACAGGTTCCTGTACAGACAGTGTTTACTCCAAGTCCGCCACAGGTTGCAGTCACCACGCAGCCTGCTGTCTCGCAGTCAGTGCAGCCTCAGGGCACACAGCCCCAGCAGCTAGCACAACAACCTGTATCATCGGGTCCACAGCCCGGGGTGGTGCAGGGACCGGGACAAAATCAGTGGGTTCCAAAGACGACCGTCGCCGCTCCCAAACCTTTTACAGGGGACAAGAAAGGCGAAGACCTCGACACTTGGTTGAGGGCAGTGTCGGTCTACGTCAGGTGTAAACTCACCTTGCCACACGAAGAAGTGCTTGTGGCTGCTTCCTATCTAGAGGGTAGTGCAGCAAGATGGTTGAGTGGGTTAGTGCAACTCCAGGGGTACGGTCATGACTTCCGCTCCTGGGCAGCCTCTCAGAAATTGGAGGACTTCCTGAAAATGGTGGAAGAGAGGTGGCATGATCCTCAGGAGGCTCAAAAGGCCACTGATGCAATCTTGACACTGCACACGCGGCAGTTTAAGTCAGTAAGGGATGCCACCGACGCTGTAGAGCATTTGATTTGTGTTCCATGGGTACGCTATGATCCCCAGGTCCTGTTAACTTCGTACTTGAGATGCTTATCTCAGCCTCTCAGGAACCAGTTGGCAAAAGAGGCCAACATCAATATGCACAACTTTCCTTCGTTCAGCAAGGTAGCCCTAGACCTTGAGGCAAAGATAGGGCATGGACAGACACCCACTACGGAAGGCAGAAAGAAGACACTGCCTCCTAACTGGAAAGCGAAAGGTCGCATCATGTTTGTCGACAACGATGGATCAACCATCGAGTTGGATGGCAACTTCCAGGAGGGAGTAGGTGCAGAGGCGGGTGGCGAAACTTCAGAGGGTGGAGTAGTCGCCACCGTAACCCAGCAAAAAGGTAAAGGGACCGGTAGACGCCCTAGGGGATCCCGGTCGAAGAGTCAAACAGACCCCAACGCTCCTCCATGGGAGAAAGCGGGTCTATCAGAGGACGTGTGGAGAGATCGGTGGGCCCGGCAAGCTTGTATCAAATGTGGTCAGTATGGTCATAGCATGTACAAGTGCCGAAACAGGAAGGTCACTGAGAAGATCCCGCCTACGATGGGGCCGGCGGTAGGATCCTCCACTCCCGTTGGTAGTAACGTTGCCAGTTCTTCAGGCAGCGCTCCGGGAAACACGTCGGGCCAGTAGGAGTAGTAGTTGTTCCTACTAGGGTCGCGATGGTGGATTCACCCTCACCTTCGCGAGAGATGGCCCGAGCTACAGACTCTTCAGTCGTCCCGCAAACACATTCAGACCCATCGACCCTTTGTTCGATGAATGTGTTTGAATCCTTAGAGGAGCTAGAGGATGAGTGGTCTAGATCAGACCCACTAGCTTCTTGGACGGCGTTAGTCAAAGCCCCTAGGAGTGAAATGTTTGTCAGCGAGGTAGTCATAGGAGGCCACAAGGCCGGGGCTTATTACGACACTTGCTCGACTAGGAACTTTATTAGTCGCGCGTGCGTTGAGAGGCTGCGCTTACAGGGGCAAGTGCAGCGCCTGAGTCAACCTGTGGAGTCGACCTGCGCCAACAAACAGCGCATGGTAGTCCATGACTACCTAAAAGACATAGAGTGTCTTTTCCCGAACGCGAGAGGGGAATTGAGGCATCATGTCTCATTCCTGGTTAGCGACGGACTCCCCATGGACATGCTATTGGGTATGTACTACCTCTCCGTGGCACAGCCCCAGTTTGACTGGGACCGAAAGGTGGTCAAACACACTTTGCCAAACGGGGGAACCACCAGATTACACAAGTTTAAGGCTAGTAGTCTGATCGATTCCCACGGATGCTTGTGTGCGGCCRCGTTCTACAATTATTATAAGCAAAATCCGGAGGAGGGTATGTATCTAGTTTACGTCTCTGCTGCGGGCGAGCCGGTAAAAATGCCGCCAGAGATAGAGGGAGTAATGGCCAAGTACCCTGATCTATTTGAGGAGCCTACAGGGGTTGTTGAGAGGGAGGTCGTCCATGCGATAGAGATTATCCCAGGATCTAGTATTCCAAAGGGTAGGATCTATCGGATGTTTCCAGACGAGCTTGATGAGCTTCGCCGCCAACTCAAGGAACTCGTAGAGAAGGGCTGGATCCGGCCGAGTGTCTCTCCTTATGGGTCTCCAGTTCTATTCGTGCCTAAGAAGAAGGAGGGAACTTTTAGGATGTGCATTGACTATAGGGGCCGCCATCACTGTAAAGAACAGAGAGCCCCTACCGCGCATCGACGATCTGCTAGATAGAGTGCAAGGGTGCCGGTACTTCAGCAAGATAGATCTGAAGTCCGAATACCATCAGATTGCCATCCGGCCCGGGGATCAACACAAAACCGCTTTTCAGACCAGGTACGGTCTGTACGAGTTTGTGGTGATGCCTTTCGGCCTTTGCAATGCTCCTGGCACCTTTCAGCACGCTATGAATCGGATATTCCATGACTACTTGGATAAGTTTGTCATCGTGTACCTCGATGACATACTTATTTTTAGTAAGACTGTCGAGGAACATGTTGCACACTTGGACAAAGTCCTCGGTCTCCTACGACAGCACAAGTTCAAGATCAACGGTGAGAAATGCGAGTTTGGCCGCACCTGTGTCTTGTACTTGGGTCATGAGATCTCCGCGGAAGGGTTGAAGCCCGATGACGCGAAGGTGGCCAACATTCGTGATTGGCCACGTCCTCAGTCTGTGACTGAGATGAGATCTTTCTTAGGAATGACAGGCTACTATAGGACTTTCGTTAAGAACTACAACATAGTGGTCGCTCCTTTGACTGATCTGACCCGCCTTGACACCCCTTGGGAGTGGACAGATAAATGCGAGGCTGCTTTCATACATCTGAAGCATGCATTGACGCACTACGAAGTCTTGGAACTTCCTGATCCTGACAAGCCGTTTATAGTCACAACGGGTGCCAACCAATATGGCATTGGCGCCGTGCTTGGGCAGCAGGATGGGCCAAAGTTGAGGCCAGTAGAGTACATGTCCAAGAAAATGCCGTCTCATAAGTTGGCTAAGTCCACTTGTGAGAAGGAACTCTATGCGGTGTACAAGGCTCTCACCCATTGGAGACACTACCTCCTTGGGCGGATCTTCATCCTCCGGACTGATCATCAGACCCTGAGATGGATGAGAACACAGTCGGTACTCTCTGACGCTATCAAGCGTTGGATCGAAGTCATTGAGCAATATGACTTTGATCCTCAGTATCTCAAAGGGGAGTACAACAAGGTTGTTGATGCCTTGTCGCGCAGACCGGACTTCTCAGGAGCGCTGATTACTGAGTTCGATCTGACGGACGATGTGACTCAGTCTTTGGTGGAAGCCTATCGTCAGGACCAGTTTATGTCTGAGATTATACGCAGACTTGAGGCGAAGGATAAGAAGACCTCCGCCGAGTTTGAGTTGGTC